TGACCTGTTACATTATCTTACTCAAATGCTTATTGTTTCATTAAGCTATTTCCATTCACTAAGCTATGTGATGATGTAAAATGTCATGTACATTAATCTGATGCCAACATGTAACAAAATAACTTACAGGAATCAGATTCCTTAGATGCTTATTAGAAGAAAGTGGTGCATGAGGCTACTGTAACACTGTTAGATTTTCACATAACAAACCCTGTAAGTCTAAAGGAAGTAGATGTTGTAACTGCCTGCCTGTCCAGCATCAAAGGTTCCACCAAGTTTACCAATCACAGAATACCTAATGAGAGAATGTATAAAATAGCTGATGTGAATCTCAAAGTCTAGTTAATCCATCCTCCTGTCTCAAAGTACAAGCAGGCTTGATTAGGAAAAAAAAAAAAACAAAAAAAAAACCAAAAAAAAACCCCAACAAACAAACAAAAAAGAAACACCAAAAACCCCCAATCTTGCAATAAAAATTAATCTATTTGAATGTTTTATTATTTTTAAAATTCAAATGTTTCTTTATCCATGTGTAATCTAAAGGTCTTAATTGCTGCATTGTAAGTCTGTTAGTTCTCTTCCTGTACATGATGGCCTTGGAGAACCAATGATTCTCTTCTACTACACAGCAACATTTCATGATTTTGAAGACTGTGCCTCAGACTCTCCAACTAAATTAAAAGCCAAGTTCCTCCAACATTTCTCATAATTCATATTTTTCTGGTTTCTCTTAATTTTTGTTGTTTCTCTCTAAAGACTCCAGTTGTCCCCCACCCCCTTTTTTTTTTTTTTTTTTTTTTTTTTTTTTTTTTTTTTTTTTTTTAATATTGTGCCTAAAATCATACTGTAAATGAATGAAGCAGGAATATTGTTTCCTGTGTTTACAGTCTGTATTGCTGTGTTGGGATTCTAGAGGACTTTCTGTGAGAGAATGGACATGTGATCAATCCTGCGTAAGAACTGATAAGAGCCTCAGCCTGAGCAAGAATTCGATAAGGATGTGACCCTGAATGAGAGGGGAGAAACTCGACTAGACAAACAACCCCCAGAAGGGGTTGGGACGGAAGAGGAAGTTACCCAAGGCAGGAAGCCTGGCAAGGCTGATGTGGCACTTTTTATCCAATCATAAGAAGGTTTAAAGCGCGGGCTAAGTTAACTGTCCAATCTTGAGGACTTGTACTGCATGTTACTCATGTGTGGGGGAGAACATTATAAAAGGGCTTTCTTAGTTGTAATAAACGGGCATTGCTTGACCACATTGGTTGCGTGCGTGCTCAGCTCTCCCACAGTGCTGTTTACAAAGTGTGCTATTTTTCTTATTCACAACAGAACATTGTTGATTCATGCTCAACTACAATCCACAATAATCTCCATTTTTTTTTAATTCAATCCAGTATTGTGTATGATTATTCCACCAGACTCTGTGCTCATCATTAGTGAATTCAGATCACTGCAGTCTAATACCATTCTCAAAAATTATGTCAGTCCTTACATTGTAACATCTTCAAACTTAATAGGCATATTCCCTATTCCATCATTCTATCATGTATATCCTATATATCCATATAAATTCATAAATATTTATTCACCTATATTTACATACATATATTTATAAACTGTGACTGTTGAATACTTGGGAAATTTAAACTTTTACAGCTTGTACAAATTTATGTGATAAAGAGCTGGTCTCCACACAAAGGAGCCTAGAGGGACAATGACAGCTGGGGGAAGCCAAATAATAGGATGATTTAGCTCCTCCATGGCTATTACTACAAGAGTTAGTAGACAGTGAAAGTCTCATCCTCACACCCATGAAGGAGCACAGAAGCATAATGGCAGGGGAGAACCTCAATAATCGAGTCAGAGGCATAAAGCCCTTCACCAGCCCCACAGGGGATAGCCAACACCAGGAGTCAGTGGGGAGGCTCTCTGGGTTGCTCTACATGGTGACACTGCCCAGGGGTATGGGGCTTGCTGCAGGGTGCAGGGAAGAGCATTTCTACTGCACAAAACCTGTTGTGGGATGTTTATGGGATCAAAGTCAGGGAAACAAGTGTGGTTTAGGGAGGATCAAGTGTGGAAAAATAGACAGAAGGGTATGAAAGGAGTCAATCACACATAAACAGGTGCTGGCCTGTTGATGCCTGAACCTGAGCAGTGCAGTCTAACTCATCTTCAGACTCCATTTTTAATTATTTTCCTGGGTGCAGAGCTCCCTGAGCTGTGTACATGTGCGGGGAAGCTCTGAGTGGCAGTGGCTGGCATGAACCAGGGTTGGGAGGCCCATGTACCTGTGGTATCAGTATGGGGTGCGATGAAGTTGTGCTGTCAGTGAATGATGCTGGCCAGCACCAAGCAGGACCAGCCAGCAAGTGAGGAACATAGCCTGGAGGGTGGGGTGAGGGTGTCCCTACAGGTGATACCACAGACAGCTTTGGCTAACAGAGGCAGTGTGGGGTCCCAGCCAGCTGCCGAGACTGTGGTTCGATTGGGAGACCCATTTGTGTGTGTACAAGTGTGCATGGGGAGAGTGAGGATCTGGACCCAGCTACTGGATGGACCTGGATGGACTGGGTGCCTAAGTCAGTTACTGAAGCATTCCACCAGAGCATGTCCGGGAGTTTGCTTGTCTAGGTGCCAGAAAACGGGCAGACTAGGATTTTGTATACTGGGCAAAATGGGTGTCTGAAGCTGGAGGCATCCACGCTGTATATATTTGTATATATTACTTGTATATATATCCCACTTAGATATTTTCATCCTGATTAGACAGCAAAACAGGAGGAGGTCACTGGTGCTGTTCATGTTTATGTGAGTACCGAATGGTTTTGTCTGTGTTGATGTGTGGGGCCAGTCACATGAATATGGATGTAACATTGTGCGTGTGTGTGTGTGTGTGTGTGTGCGCGCACCCACAGGGAATGCATGCTTGACCTTGCTGCTGGATGGACCTGGGGACATGAAGTTTCAGCAGTTTCAACTCTCTTGGGCTGCAAGATCTGGCACCCCCTAAGAGCTTGCATGCAGCTTTTGGTTCTACCTCATCTGTAATTTTGTTCTCACATATCTCTGGATCCTTGTCCATTTGGAAAATAAGGTCTGCAGTCCTAAGGAAATTCAAAGAATGTTTTTGGAAATGTAGCTGATGCAGACACATTTGGCGGTATCTTTAGACAACATGAATAGAAAAATATAATTAAGATAATAACTGAGGAACAAAAGCCTTTGTTTTCATTGATAGAATTCTGGCAGTGGTTTTTCAGAATATGTATTAGTGAATCAGAACAGTGTCCTGGTTCAGCTAAGATAGGGTTAAATTTCCCCAGCAGAGAGAGAGGGGGAAGGGATCCCCAGCAGGGTTATTCATACCATGCTGACATCAGGTCTGGCGCGGGAACCTTTACTTTTTCCTTGGTAGGCTTGGTGGCGGGAAGCTGTTCCGTGACCATTTGTGGTATTTCTCTGTGTATCGTTTGTCTTGCTTACTGTTATTGGTGTTTAATGCTGTTATCATTGCTACTGTTGTTCAGATTGTTTATCACACTGTTGTATTAAATTTCTTCTTATTTTAACCCGGGGTTTGTGCCTCACTGCCAGCCCAACCGGCTAAGGGTGGGGGAGGGACAACGGTAACGGCAATGTGGTCTTTGGTCCCAGCAGGGCTTAAACCACCACGAACAGTCAATGAAATTTTCCAATCATCAATATACGAATGAACTTCTGGCTATTTGATACTCAACAAGAGGAGGAGGGAGGGACTGAACAATTAGAAAGAAGGAAAATTAACAACTGACCAAGCAAGAGAAATAGAGCTGATCTAATCTGGTCTTGTTCCACTTCTTTCCATGTTTGTCTCTTTCATTGTCCTTTCATGGATGTGTGTTTGTATCTTTGTCACCAAAATTAATTATGACTGCAGGAAATTTCTTGAACTCTTTTCAATTTTCTTAATTAATATTTTTTTAAAAGTTTGCAAACTACTGCTTTCAATCACCTTGTGCCAATCAAAATAATTGTTAATTTACTGCAATTAACACCCAAACAAACTGCATTAGTTTTAACTAAGATGAGTTCAGAGACCTATGGAAGAGATTCTTGGAACAAAGAATGATTATGGCACATGTAAAGTATTCAGAAAGCCTACAGAGCTGGAGCATTTAAGAAGAAGGTTACACAGTAATAGAGAGTTTTCACAGTGATTGAACCTATCACCCAACCAATATGCAGATACAGGTCTTCAAGGAGTTATAGACTTATTTTCCACTTATCTGAAGTTCTGATAATTGCATGATTTTAGCTGAAATGTTTAAACATCTTTTACGTGATTTCAAAAATTTTTAAAGTACTATCCTATCTGAAGTAAAATTCAATAAATTTAAAAATAAACTGGCTCATATCAATTTGCAGCTGAAAATGTGGGGGTTTTTTCATATTCTTTTCTCTTAAAATATGTGCAGAAGCTTTACTGCATACTCAGAGAATATTTATAATATCAATTATATCTTTATAGCATTAATTGTGTGGTATTTATTATTGATGATTACATAGTTTCAAAGAATTGAGGCAATCAATGTTAACAATGATTTACTAGAGAAATAAATGAAATGTTACCTTCAGATACTGCAATATAATTGGTATGTTTTGACTGAATACCTACTTCAGCAAGATATACATGGAATATTTATATAAAACACTCCTGAAAGAGAAATTAAAAATATGTAATATGTACTCAGTTTAATAATAAACACAAGCTACTTTAAAATTAAAAAAAATATATATCTCATTAGCTTTTTGAAAAAAAATGTACATAATACATGATTAACTTTTCAGCTACAGAAGTACTGATTCTTCAGTATTAGAAATTATAGGATAATCCAAAGCATATTATGTGTTTTGTTTTTTTTTTTCATATGCAGTCCATGCTAATAATAAAGGTTATGTTCAGTTAATAAAGAAACAAGCTGAATGTAAAATATTAAAATATTTTATTGAAGGTTTTAATAATTTCTTATCCAGAGCACAGGTACAGATGTAATAAGTCAAGCATTTTACCACTCCCAGAAAAATTGAACCTTCAAAACTTCTACAACCAATTATTTGAAACCAAAATAATGCAAAATGCACTACTGTTTGAGATTAACAACAACAACAACAACAACAAAACAAAACCCAAAACAAAACCAAAACCCAACACAACCAACAAAAAGACCCAATAAAACTTTACACTTAGGTGGCATTTTACCATGGAGGTATCACATGTATTTGCTGATATGGTACCTGATGTTAAAGCACACTTGGTAAAGCTCTTACGGGTAATGTTATAACCATTGCAACTCTTCCTGGTTAAACTTTACTTCAGCATTTTTCTGTCTGAATATTCAGATTACTCTTGCTCTCTCTGGAGTGGTTTGCGCTCTGGAGGTAGCATAGGCTGTAACTTCTGCCAGCGTTGTGGAGGCCAGAGGATATGAGTAGCTCGAGCATGTAGAAGTCCAAGAGAGACCTGAAACCAAAACAAGGAGATTAATAAATACTGCAAATAAAACAAATCATGGAAAATACAAAACACTTGGATGATATATTAGAACAATGAGGGAATACACAATAGAGAACTTTGCATGCATGAGGAGTGTCTCAGGCATGAACTAGGAAGGCTTTATCAGGTTCAAGAAAAAGAGCTGGTCAAAACAGGTGAGTCATTCTATAATTCACCTAAAGCTTTTGTGGTTATTAATTATTCTGGATACGGTGGAATAAGGTTCAAGTATCTATTCTGAATAAGTTAAACAGAACCTGTGCCTCATATTTGAGCTATGTGCAGCAAATACATCAGGATAGCAGCTTTTCTAAACATGCTGTACTTTCTATTTGTCATTGTCCTTCAAAATTCCATTTTGTCTCCAACCAAAAATGGAAATTACTCTGAATCTTAAATATTTCCCCAAGGATGAAAATGCATTTCTGATATAATTATTTGAAATATATTTACAGATCAAATATTTTTTTAGATTCTAGGACTACCTACACTTCATTAGTATGTTTTCTAAACATGTTTTACCATCTCATTATTTACTAATGTTTTATTTCAATAAATTTACTACACTAATGTTTTGCTTTAATAAAATAAAATTATGATATTGCTTTGTCCTGGTTCAGCTAGGATAGGGTAAAGTTTCCCCAGCAGAGAGGGGGAAGGGATCTCCAGCCGGGTTATTCATACCATACTTCTTCAGAGTGTACACGATACATCATACTTGCATACATCATACAGGATACTGAAGAGACCAGAAAAGAGTAACAAACTGATTCAGAAAATAATAATAGAATCAAGGTCCATCACACATAATTGATCATAAAGAAAATAACAGTGTAGCCTCTATACTTCATATTAGAAAACACCAGTGGAAAAGTTATATACCCATTCTGTTCTTATGCTCTAATGATCTGGTATTAGCTGTTGTCAGAGCCAGAGTTAAATGGATTTCTTGTTTGAACGTGTACATTTCTGCTTAAAATTTTATGTAAACTCAGTTCTTCAGTTCCATTCTATTTCTCATCACAAGAAAAAGTGATATCAGTAAGCAGGTAATTCAGCATTTTATGCAAATAGACACCAAATAGGCCCCTAGGAATATCTTCAGCTAATTTTCTTGATTTAATTTCATAGGATTAATGTATATTCACCAGTCTGTCTCTACTACATAATTAAATCAGTGAAGCTGAAGTGGTCTATATCTAATTCCATATTCTGTAGCTTGATGAAGCAGGTGCTGAATTACTTGAATATAATTTAGTTACTTAATAACCCACGATATCTAAAAGAATCTGAAGTAGATCACCAAAACTGCAGTCTAACATTATATTTCAGATGCTTGATTCCTTGTAGGAATCACTTGTTTCCCAAATCTACTGCAGCCTTTTCGTAGGCTTTAGCTACAATTTTTTAAGTCTTGACATACTTCTGTGTAGTTTGTGGGATATTTATGGAATTCACAATATCCTTTATCTTAATTATCCCATAAAGTGGTCTGCAAATGTAATAGTACCATGGGAATTTGTTCCCTGAGAATACAGCATGATAGTACATGTATTACAGGGTGGTGCCAAAATATAAAACCACAGCAAACCCTACCACTGCATATACACTGAGAATATAATAAATGAATCAAACCTTGTTTGAAGCTGAGGCTGGGAATAATTTTGCCCAGAGGATTACTTCTACTGACCATTGTCTGACTTGCAACTAATAAAGAAATATCCTTCCTATAAATCTGATTTACAGGACAACATGACTTGTGTTAAAAAGGAAAAACAGGTGTTACTGGGTGGTAGAAGTCTTTACTAAATAACAGAAGACACAGATGCCATAGGGCTCCTTTTATAACTTAAAGGCTCCCTTTAAAAGCACCTTGATATTTGACTTCTGCAAACAACCTTAATAACTTTTGTCCATTGCCTATTATTATTATGTACTTACCTCAGCAGCCATGAATTTCACTGAGGAAGAACAAAATTGTTTGCAGAGAATAACTTGCCCTTGCTAATGGGTTTACCCTCATCAAGGTTAAATATGGACAGAGGGTGAACTGAGAGGCTACACTTTCTGTTGCAACAGTGAAATACTGAAATAATCTATTAAAATAGAGATTAATCAGCTCCCTTACAGACATTATTTACTTCCATTACTTAAGAAAATCAGTTTTCCCCTTGAAACACTGTCTTAACTATAAGAAAAATCAGTACTTTACGGACAGAAATTCTTTGAGGAACATATTTAATTTACAGACATGAGTAAGAGATGCCAGCAATCTAAATAGTTGATTTTTATTTCTACATTATGATCTATTTATTATTCTTGCTGTGGCAACAACAGACGCTATGTTGAATTGAATCCATATTATTCCCCCTAAACTGAGCTGTTTAGGCATTAATTCTATTTGGGTTTTTTTTTAATCTTTGAATATTTAATTGAACAACTGAGAAGTAATTCTGTTAACATAACAATTTTATCTGGAAAATAAGATTTGAATGAATAATACTGTTTCGACACTGTTACTGTGATAAAAGCTTACTTCTTAGGAGTCTGATCATTGTTAGTGTGTTAGTTATATGG